CTCATCAGCACTTCCGGCTGTTTTAAGAAAAATAGTAGCACACACTTATCACAGGCCTCCCATGTGTCTGCACTGTGCTGAGAAGGACCTACGTCTTATTTCGTTTTGCCTTCATGCAACTCTGAGTTAAGGGAGCTGTCTTTATCCCTCTCTACCTCTCAGAGGCTTCAGCAGGCCCAATTCCATGTGGACACACATTAAGGGGGCAGCAGAGGTTAAGATGGTTCTTAAGCAATCTCTTCTTGTTTTAAATATTCCTAACTCATCCTATTTAGTGTTTTCACATTCTTCGTGCTTCAGAATTATAAGCTTTCCACCTGTGTTTTAAAGCCATCGTTTCATGTGCTGTCCAGAAAGCCCTCAGCCAGCTGGCCCTGGGGCATGTGACCGAGTACTTGGGACTAGACTTGGAGATTGCTGTGAGTCAGAGGCCAGATCCCACACTTCAGCCTTTACATATGGGAGGTTCTGGTCATGAAACCAGAAAAGGGACCACCAAGTTCGGAAAGAGGTCTTAAGGAAGGGAGAAGAAACATTATAATGGGATATGTGTGGAGCTTTTCTGGGGAGGGAGTGGACGGGAGGCAAGAGTGTGGGACAGGAGGGCCAGCAAAACAAAGTGTGTGAAAGCCAGAACAAAATCACATTTTCATGTTAGTTTACTTAAAAATGGGGCTCAGTGGGCTAACAGTGCCTGCTGCCAATGTGACAAACTGAATTTGATTCCCCAGAACTCACATAGTAAAGGAGTGGACCAACTCCTGTAAATTGTCCTCTGACCTCCACATGCACTCGAGCGCACGCGCACACACACACATACACACATATACACATACCCAATAAATTAATAATTTTTTTCTACAAATGTAAGAATGAGCAAAGTCAACACTAAGACTCAATTCTAAAGACATGATTTACAATTCAAACATAAATGTAAACATTTTAGAAAACAGCATAGGCAGTCTGTGGGACACAAGCCTAGGCAAGACATCTTTAAGAGGGATGGTCACCAAGAGCTCAATGCATAAAGAGAAAAAAATCAGTTGATTGGACTTTACCAAAATTACAGACTTAGTTCTTCAAAATGTTTCCAGAAAGAGAAGGAAAGGACAAAACCCCATTGTGGGAAGATGCATGCCACAGCCATGCACACTAAGGATGCTCAGAGCCCAGTGTGTGTGATTGGGGGTGGGGGGAAGGATATAACCTACCCAGTTAAGAAAGAAGCAGAAGAAAGTGAAGCAATGGACTTTTCCTCAAAGAGGGTAGGCAGACAGTGCATATGCAGAGAGGATGTGCAAGCCTGCGGGTCTTAGAGGAGTACAAACTAAAATCACAATGAGCTTGCAGCACCTGGTAAAACACCTATTGGAACAGCTAACAGGAAAATCAGTGCTATGGGATGCTGGTGAGGATGCAGAAAAGCCAAGTGCTCACACTGCAGGGAGGAATTTACAATGAAATGGCTACTCTGGAGAAGAGTGTAGCAATTATTTTAACAACACCCATAGAATCTAGTCTCCTGGGTACTTATCTGAAATACTGAAGAAATATATCCACACAAAACTGTTTGTGAACATCCATAGGAACCTTATTGGTACTAGACAAACACTGAAAGCAACCCGGGGGCACTTTAACAGTTATGTGGCCAAACCACAGTGCATCTAGACCTTGGAATACACTCGGTGATGAAAATGAACAAACCACTGGTACAAGCAAAACTTTTTGTGGATCTCATGGAAACAGCACAGAGTAAAGAGCCAATTTTAAAGGTTCCACGTTTCAAGGATTTGTTTACTTAAAACATGACAGAATTATGGAGAATTATGAGTACGGGGGTATCAGAGACAGAGGAATAGGAGGACAGAGTAGGTGCCACCATAACCAGGGAACAAGGAAGAACCTCAAGAATCAGAATAGCTCTGCATCTTGACTGTGGAACTAGATTCACAGTGCATGGGAGGTGCACACATAGCACACACATGTCACACATGTGCATGCAATCTGAAGACCCCTGTCTATGTTCTGAGGATTACACTCATGTCACCTCTGTCCTGCTTAGGGTTCCATGACAATGTAATGGTCACCAGCAGAGGAGAAAGAGCACCCTACATCTCACTATTATTCTTGTGGCATCCTCTGAAGCTATGATAATTTCAAATGGAAAGTGCATGCTGAGTAAACTACAGACACACTAAAAAGATAACAAACAGAATCGGAGACAACAAAGCTGCAGCACTGTCCAGTGAGACCCCAAACACACAGTCAAACATGCTCAACAGTGGAACATTTAAAAAGCTGCACCCAGAAACCTAACAGAGTCATGTACCTAACACTTACTTCTCTCCTTCCTCCTAAAAAGAAAGGAGAAAAATAAAACAAAACAAACAAAAAAAATCCTGCTGTTGAGCCCCTTGGGGAAGCGGGAGTTCTGCCCAGAGCCTGGGGTGAAATCACCCTAGGGTTTCACAAGTGACAGCACAACATCCAAGAGCACCAAAGACTTCCTTCCAGAAAAAGTAGTGCACTGACCTGCCCACCATGGCAGCTGTACACAGAACCACTCCTCCAAGACAAAGCAAAGTCAAACCAACAGGACTTTAAAAAAATCTCTAGGCAAACAAACATAAAAACCTCAATAACCTCAGACGATTCCTAGCAAACTTTGTAATCAAATACATCCTCTGGCCTGACCTCCTCCCTCACCTCTTGCTTTTCAAGGATTCTCTCCCCTACAGAATTCTGGGTGATGAGAACCCTCCGATGGTAACAAAAAACATTCAAATTACTACAAAATTACTGGACTGCGTTTCCATATGCACAGGCATACACAGAACCCAGTCAAGGAGTGTTACTTGAGAAAACTTTGGTAAATGTTAGAAATGTTAACAGTTCTTATAAAGTTCACCTAATTGGTGTGAAAAGCAAAACTTCACAGTGTCCCTAGCATTTCCGCTGATCTGTGGCTGGGTCTTTTAAGTCCTGTGTGCTGTAGTGCTTTACCATCTCCAAAGCACTTCCAGAGCACCCAGAAGACACAGCACACCTGGAGGATGCGCTCTGTTCCCTCAGCAGAGCCCCTGCCTCACATCTGGGTGGGGTTGGACATCAGAAAGAACATAGTGCCACCCAGTGAAGCTCCAGATAGACAAGCTGGTTGGAAGCAGGCCTTCTCCGCTCTCATCAGCAGAGTGCCTTCCCAGAAAACCGTTCACATCTGCACTCATGTGCTGCTGTTGACGAAAGATGTGCTCTTAAATGCTGCAATCTCCACATGTCCTCAGAACACTCTGGCCCACACCTTCTGAACAGAACCTGAAACACCTAGACATGAGTGCACTTTCAAAAGGGGAAGAGGAGGGGAGCTGCAGGGACAGCACCTTCTTACTTGCCTGTCACCTCTAAATGGACCAAAGTTCTCCTCATCAGGAAAAAATGCGGCATGCAAGACCAAACAAAAACCAGCTCACCTAAAATCTAATCACCTCCCCCCACACACACACACACACCACGAATCCCACTGAGTAAAAAGAGGTTTTTAGAACATTCTATTCTATACCCTGCTCTCTTTCTTTCTGCATTCTGGTCCTTTGCTTTCCTTCCACGCAGTTCAACTTAAGTACTGTTCCCTCGTTATTTTCATAAAAAGCCATCTTAGAGGAAAAACCATGTAATGTTGAGAGCATTACTAGCAAGCGCTTTTTCTGCTCCCCTGACATCATCAAGATCTTGAACCTCAGAGATCATCCTTAAGCACCAATGTTGGACTGGGCAATGCCAACCTGGGCCCCATATGGTCGGCTGCCAGGGAGAGAATCTTATGCAGTCTGGCAGGATCCACTGCCTAGTTTTGGAAGCAGGAAGCCAGGAGTGTTCCATCTTTAAACCCTGATTTTTCATTCCTTGAAAAGGAGTCTTCTGGAATTGTAGCTGTTTAATATTCCCCTAGTCTGCTTGTGTTCTCTTCTAGTGAACAAGTTGGCACTGTTTTGAGACATCACACTCTCTACCACCACCAAGGACTTTTATAAGCAAAACCCGCCAAACTTTTAATAGTCTTCAGAGGAGAGAGATAGAACCATGTGGACAGAAACAGGAAGCAGAGGGCCTCAAATTCCATCCAAAATGTAAGCATCAAGGCACTTGGGATCAAGACCTGTGTCCTGAAGCTGCAGTCCAGATTATAGAGACAATACTCCCACGACAAAGGCAGAAAGGCAAACATTACCCAAAAACAAAAAGGATGGCGGGGGGGGGGGGGGGGCAGGCCTAGGATTCGCGACCAGGGTACCTCATCCCCCTGCATGGATCCCTAGGAGGCAGTACCAGCGGGTCCTTTGGGCTGTCAAGGGCCCTCGTGGGCCGACATGCCACTCTCTAGCCTGCCACAAATGTCACGTTCCAAGAAAGTTCAACCAACTCCCCCTTGGAAAGTTTACGTTTCCTCCCGGAAACCAGATTCTTTTCAAGGCAGTGCCAACAGGCCAGGGAAAGCCGGATCCACACACCCCCTCCCATTTGTGCAAGAAACTTGTTTGGGGAGAACAAAGAAGGCGCAGGGGCGGAGGGGCCCGAGCCTACTGGCCAGGGCGCGTCCTGGGGTTCGGGCTGGGCGCCCCATGTGCCTTTGTCTGTGCCGGAGCAGCAACACCCGCCAACCCTCCCGCCCCTCCGGCAACTGGGACCCGCCAGCCACACGGGAAGGGCCAATCCCGGGCCAGGGGCCCGCGCGCGTGGATGCCAGTCCCCGGACTCCCATGGGGATCCGCCCCGTAGGTACTGGGCACTCGGATGGTGGCACGGCACCGGATTCGACTTTTTGTCTTATTGAACATTCTGGATCCCTGACGGGACACTCAGGCCCCAGCGCCGACCTGGCTGCCTAAGTCCTCACATCTGGAGCTGAACCGATGTCAGCCTGGGCTCCCGGGAAGAACCATGGAGACCTCTCGGCCCAGTCCCGGGAAGCCCTCCCTGAGCCCCGGGCTTGATCTGGTTACCTCTCAGCACAGGCTCGCAAGGTCC